AAGTCATGCATAGACTAAGTTGCTACAGTACGCATCATCATCGAACAAAGCATGGGATGGGGAGTCAACTCTTTACCTCAACCTCGTCGACTTTGAAAAGGCATTCAACGGCGTCGACCCCTAAGTAGTTTGATAAATACTTCAACACCACGGAATGCTACAAACACATATAAACCTTATTCAGCAGCTATACATATTATAGTGTCACGTGCTAAGCGATTCAAAAGGGAAAACCCAGTGAAGCGTTTGAAGACAGGAGTAAGACCGATCATATTCCTGATTCTGGTGGACTGGATCATGCGGTAGAAAGATGGGAATATGCTGGACTAACAAAAGACTAAAAAAACTTGAATTGTGCCTATGGTTTGTGTCTAATGTTGCACAAACTCGAGGATCTACTGGAGAAAACCAGCAAGTTGGTAGAAGTGGCGGAGAAGACGGGATTTCGAGTGAACAGAGGTGATGAAGATACCTAACCAACAACAACAAGCATCAATCGCCATCGATGGAAGAAACTTAAAGGACATCTCTCTCAATTACCTTGGCAGCACCGTCTCAACTACAAGCATCACCAGTGGCGATGTCAGAGTCAGACACGCAGGTATTCGTTACTTTGAAATCAGTGTGAAGATCTGCAGCAGTGAGCGTAAGAACAAAGATCCGAATTTTCTACTCTAATTTCAAGTCAATACTGAACTTCAAATAATACTATGCTAAGGACAATAATACTACTAAGTCGTCCAGATTAAAAGGGCTCAGATTCAGCCTGACTGCATCACTCACTGAGTGACGCGGGTTTGAACCTCAGAACGGATATCAGTCCCTTTAAGGTTGCAGATACGCCTTGCTGATTGTTGGGTGCCAACTAGTATGAAACCTAGGTCAGGCAAGGCTTCCCGCCGATTGCCTTCAACCATCTAATATCAACAATTCAAAATGCACCGTGATGGTCAGCTATCTAGAATGGCGGCGGGAAAGTTGGGCATGAGGCTAACAACCCGTTCCGTAAAAGTAAAGACGACTGTTACCGAAACTTCAAAGCTGTAGCTTGAAGGTGCTCTATATTCCACTGGGAACGTAAAAGAATAAAAAAAAGGCTCAGACCAAAAGTTTAATTATTGTTAATCAAATGAAACGCTAGTTCACTTAAATCTCGAAACTTCTGTCAACTGTGCTACGTATGCCTAGTCATCGCCTTCCTCGACGGGAAATGTTAGCTGATATAGGGCCAGGTTGGAAAAGAGCTAGCGGCGGTCAAACGAAAACATGGCACCAGTCAATGAAATCTACAACAGTTAGTCTAAGCCACGTAGGAAGGTGTAGACTTCCTGACTAGTTGGGGTCCTCGGGAGAGTAAGAACCAATGGCTGGAAACTGTTGGTGACATGGCTCAAAGTGATCGTTCTCAATGGGTGGCTCTGATGCATCCACTCCTTGTGACTTATGATTTCCGATGAAACTGTTTTGTTCTTCGTTATTACTATTCCTTTGTCTCACACCTCTGTTTACTATCTATATTATGCATTTCTTCTACTTTCTTCTCTTGCTTTGTGTGCTACATGGAGTGGAGTGTGGCGACTTGAACTGCCGCACATATGTGCAAAGTTCTATGTCGAAAACTGACCGACCGACTTAAGCTGACCTATGAGAATGTGTTCTCAATCTATAACTGACTCTACAAGTTGCTGCTTCTTCCAAAGAATATAAGAGATCAGTCTTAGTTATATTCAATAAGTTGGCATGTAGTCATTCTTCCTAAACATTCTGACCATTAGAAAGCCATTAATTACAAAAAGGGATTTCGGGTAAGACATTCTTCCTCTATTTTCAGTAAGTAACCACTTTTCTTAATCTTAATCAATGTTCATCAATCTCAAAGATAGTGTGACTAATCTCTCACTATCCTGGTAACTGTAATTGTTTTGTTCGTATGATTTTGTGTTTTGTTCTGTTGCATAACGTTTCACTTAATTTTGATTTTCACTCACTGAGCTAAAATTCACTACTAAGTCTTCAAATCTATTAAATTATTTTATCTATTTTATAATTTTACTTCGTTATTCACCCCCACCCACCCTCCTGAACTCTCCATCATAATATGTATAAATCTATTGTGTTATTCTGTCTTGGGTTTTGTCTCTAGTCCATCCTTGTTTCCAAGTGAAATATAAACTCCATCCCCTCAACTAATCAATATAAAAATAATCCCTTTTTAACGCTAAATAACTGTCTACTTACATAATCTTTGAAATTATGTTGCCTATACTTTCCATCTATAACTTGAAGTGATTGTAAAAAATATGTTCAGACATTATTTTGCAACTTATAAGTGATTTACTTGGGATGTAGGCAGTTGAAGGGGATCCACGGAATAAAACGAACTCGTATTATCCTGCAAATATGTTCGTTCTTTCTTTATTCAAATTAATAAAGAGAACTGGCTGTATGAAATTCAATCAATCAACTTAATTTTCAAAAATCACACGATTAAAATACCATACTCCCTATTTACATTAATTAACTTGATAGATTTATAATTTTTTTTTCCTTCACGTTCGCAGTGGAACATAGGGTTTCAACCTAGAAGGCTTGAAGTTTCTGTAGCAGTGGTGTTTATTTTTACAGGATGGGGTTGCTAGCCTCATGCCTAACCTTCTCTCTTTACCAGCTTTATTACTGGCTTAGCGAGGTAAAGGAGTGCGTCGGCCGGGGATCGAACTCCGGACCAGTATAATAATAGACAATTAGGGCCTTCAGTGGCTTATAAAAGCAAATAATAGTATTTCAAAGATTCTTTCAATATCTGCAGCACATTTTAACAGGTTTAGTATGCAAATTGACTTTTGAAAAATCTTACTGGTACATAAACGACGCATCAACAAGATAATACTTTCTTACAGCAAACAGTTAACGAATTGTGACTTTGTATCTGGAATGACTAGCAAATGAGTCATCGAAGAACTTGGCACAAAAGTGCATTAGTATGAGATGCCATACAACAGCGAAGCACATAAAATAGCAAAATATAAATGTAGGAATACTGCAATGGACAAAGACGAGTGTGATGAAGAGAATAGTTGAATAAAGATCACTGACATTTTTTCAAAATCTTGGAGATGACAAGAATTGCATGCATATACGTCACTATAAATGTTATTGAGACATATCACTCAGATTCTGGAACCATTCATTCTTAGCGTCCGGAGGGTCATAGTCAGGATGTCTAACGATTAGTGACTTTATGGACTGATACTGTGCCCTGATCTGACAATTCCTAATTCCTTCACAACGTAGTGGGACCTAAGCCGAAATTATTTTTTTATAAAGACGGTGAATAAGCATATGAATGACATGTCCTAGCCACCTCAAACAATGAAGCTTCATAGTCTCGTTGATTGACAAACTTCCCTGCCTATGACTTACTACACTGCTTCTCATAAAGCAGACAGTTGAATGAAAGCGTCTACGATCAAGATCCACTAGTCTTTTCACATCTATGAGAAGCTATGCCTCACAATTCTAGCGCATGACAGAACAAACTGCCGTAAAGCACTAGAAGTAGTTGTTATTCTATGATTTAGACTGTTCGAAATAAATGTTACATTAATAGATTTCGAGGTAAATAAGTGGAAGAAAAATAATCTGAGAAGTGTTTCATATCTGGGGACACTTATCAACAACACGAAATTATTAGATTTATGACAAGAAAAGTGCGGTTGTTTCAGAGAAAATGCATCACTGTGCTGATATTAACAAACAAAATGCAAGACTTTAAGAGAACCTACACACGGTATTTAAGAAAACGTAGGTAAGATAGAACTACCGATCGTGGGACACTGAAAAATATTGGTACTAGACAATTCTGATTTTAAAAGTAATTCTAATTTTTGTACACAATTCGAGGCTCAATATACGTTCCTATTTATAGCATAATGAACTCCGTGAATTTTCATTAGCTGCTTAAATATCCTCGGAAACAAAAGTTACTCTAAATGTTATATAAAGCTTGGTAAATAGAATGCACAGATATAATGTTGAGCTTAATTCATGAATAATCAGTATCGAGATATTAATGTTGAGCTTAGTGTGAAAAAGAAAGGGAACTAGAAACTCTAGCTTAAACTGACTATACCAGCATTTGATAATAGGTCTTTAAGAGGAAGTTACACCATTAACAGACCATTACGGCTAGGAGATAAGGGTGGAAAACACATTACATGCTCCGTATCTTTGTTTACTCAATCAGACATAAGCCAAGTAAACATCTGCGAAAACGGTAAATAATGAAGTGGAAACAAATGGCCAAACATTTAAGGTTGTGTATGGAAAACAAGCGGCTGGAAACTTGGGAAAAGGAGAGACATATAAAAGTAAAACACCGAAAAAAGTACACAAACTGTATCTGTCACAGTTCTCAATAGTTTATAACAAGAAAGTAATGAGAAAGTGAATAAATGTATGGAATTTCCTACTTAAATATGAGGATCCTCATATTAAGAACGTAGTGGAATGGTGGTCATTTGTCTACTGATAACTCGACTACGAATAAAGACTGTATAGGGAACGGAATAGCAAGTACGATCTCCTTTTCTAGAAAAGGATAAAAGAAGACCTGAAGCATCCCATTCGGTTAATGAACGTGGGCAATGTGAGCAAAACATGTGATAGACGGGTAATTGTGATCGGCAAAAAGGTGGGCAATAGATGGTGTTATATATATAACAGTCTCGGCTCCAAATGAGTTTGTGAGACTCTTTTAACAGCAATCTTGTAATAGATCCGAACTCATGGTACTACTTAATGAAGCAGTGACTGAACAGATACAAGTAACTAGTGTTGTGCGCCTATAGGCCTTTAAAAGTAATATAACACCACTTTATCATGAAAGTATGAAAACTCGTAAGATGCTAGACGGACAACAAAGTATAAATACTAAACTAGGGCTAAAAGTTCTAGGAGACTCTAAAGGTTATGAAACACGAACAAAACAACCAACTCACGGAGCGCGATAACCCATCCGAAATTTTCAAAAGTGAAACATGAAGAAAACATTCAGCATTCAATAACAGCAAGTCCAAACTAGTAAAAGAATCCATTGAATTTTAGCTCCCACATCTCCCTGTTTTGCAAGAATTTCACGTTTTGCGGAAAATTTGATGTCAGTATTGCCCATCCTGCAGAGTATTTAGGAAATAAATTATTATAAAGTTAAGACCTTTATTGAGTTCATTTTGGTTTATCTAGTTGGTTATATTTCATGTGTCTCTGCGTAATTTAAAATGAGCAAGTAAAGTCAATAGTATTCTCTCGTCTTGTAAGTGAACAGCCTACTTATTTTATATTTCGCGTCTTCGTATTTAGTATTCCAACCCCATCTTGCAACCATTGAAGACCATGCCGTTAAGATTTCAGTAATGTTGTTTATACGTTAGTGCAGTATGAATCCATTGTCTGATTATTCACTAAGAAATCTGTGGTGGTTGATTTGATTATTGAAGTGAGAATTTGTTCGCCTTTAGGTTAGTATTTTCCCAATGGTCCTCAGGTAATTCTAAATTGGCCTGAATTAGCTTATATGTCTGTGAAATCGGTTTTTCCTTGCCAAAGAAGTCTGAGACTTTATATTGTATAAGCAGCATTTTGTATATTTGTTTCGTCGTCCTAGTTATCGCGGTTGCCATAATTTGTGATTCAATTTTACGGGACTAAGAAACTGAGCTGGGTTCATCAAAGATTAAATAGGTGTAAAATTTGAGTTCTCGTAATACACCACGTTAAAACTTTAATCAGTAAATCTTAGTCGTCACAAGTACTTCAAAAATGTTTAGTTTGGCTGTCAATAAATGCAAATCGTTGTCACTTTAAAAGGGATTTAGTCTGCTTCAGTAACAAATAATTTCCTTAATTCCCTAGCCCTCAGTAATCGCCATGATTTCATATTGGATGGTAAACTTCACCGTTTAAGTCGATTGATAAAGCGGAAATTACAAGGCAAAGCACCAACGCTGTTCGGCACACTTCTGTGTTTCGTTTGGTTGTTTGTGCACAATATCTAGCTGATTACAAATGCGCCATAAAAAACTACACCATTCCGGTAGAAAACTTGACACTCCAGTTACTTACTTTTCCTTATGATAGTAATCAGTTAATACAGTTGAGACATAAACGCTAGCTACCCAAGTGCACAAAGTACTATAGTCTCGACAGGTCAAAATAATGCCTAAGCAACTCGCAGATTCCAACACCATCGGAAATTACTTCTGGTCAAATATTTTGCATGTGAAACTTCGATGAATCAAAGGCCGGACCTTGTTGCAGCAAGATGACGCGAAAATGTCACTTAAAGGTAATCATAAATGAAAAAATTATTCGAAAGGCCTGCAGCCCCAAGGCCATTTCATGGTGTTTGGGATGAATACACAAAAAGGTATGAAATTAAAACGACCGGCTTGTTGATAATTGTATTAAACCAAAAGTGGACATCATGATAGTAAGACCTATATGGGTAGCATTATACATTGCGAATGAACTTTGTCAGCCTAGGGATTATAGTCTCCCATTGTATTTCCTTTATGAGTGCATATATTAATGATACATTGCATTTACCTATTTCATTACACTTTAATGATTCACCTTAGCACCTTTACTTTTCTAAAACAGCTTACTATCCCTTGTAAACGTTGTACTTACCCCAATATTGGTTGGTTATCGTATGCCTACAACTATGGGCTGGAAACGAAACGAAGTCGATTTTCCTGCGCAACTTGGAGGACTGCTGTTTAATTCAATAATGATACGACATGGGTCAGACAATGAGTGTATTGATATATATATAAAATATTTAGCTGTTCAAACATTAACTACTATTTGACATTATATCATACTTGATCGTGCCTGTAAAATTGGCATGCATTTTCATGTAAATTTATGTTTATATGAAAATATAAATTATTATTAATATAGATCAGTAAATAATGCAGGTAGCCCATGTGTATCAAGTTGGCAGCGTGACTGAATCAGTTGCTTTCAGTCGTCATTAAACCCTAAAACTTAGAGTCGTGTGCTTACTGTGCGTTTTCCTATATGAGCTATATATTCGGTTTTCTTGTTTTCATCACAACTTAAAGTTGATAGCACATGGATATCATAGTCGTTATCGAATGATGCACGCATTTCTATTCGACACCTAAAATTCGTTTATTATATTATCATTTTTATTTTAGCTTGATTCCAAACAGTATTCTTGGTACAACTATGGAATTTTCAGTATGTGATATCGGTAGCCCAAATTTAGCAGGCCTACCATTGATATCGGGTGCGCGTTGGCCAAGGATTCAACCCCGGACCATGTACATCGTCGGCAAACGTCCTAACCACTACGCAACCGACGCACATTCGGGTAGCGGTACAGTCAAGAGCCACTTCTACGTAAAAACTGCAGGTTTGTCAATTTTTGTACTTGTTTCTGTGAATATCATTCCAATTTTTGCCATCACTTCTGTGTGCCACTAGATCTCAGAATTTCTATGCATTACGTCCAGTTATGTGTCTTCCCAACCTCTCCCATAATTGGTTAATAGGGCCAGTAGATGATTCCAGGATGCATAAGCCCATTTCCATGAAGGAAACTTCACCTTCTCAAATCCACAATTCAGTGCAGTGAATTGCTACAGGAGGTGTTTGGACACCCGTATCCAACAGGTTCACTGGAGAAGTATCTAACCGCTAGTAGCTCATTGGGATAAATATCCAGAAGATTTAAAAATCCCCTTTAATGTAATTTTAGAACGCAATTTGAACAATCAGTATGTGTTTCTGGTAAATTTTCATCAGGCCTTACACTTATAGAATAAAATATCTATCATAGACGTCTAGAAAAACATAGATCAATAGATCGAGGATAATGTAAGTAGAATAATGATAAATTGTGAAACTAGGATTGAATTATACAACTGTGACACAGTACGATATTGATAACGAAGTTAGCAGTACAAGTAAAAGTAATATTTAGAGTTATCCGGTGTCACCGGGATAAATATTACTAAGTCGGGGTTGAAGGCCAAGGGGGGAGGGATTGAACAAACGTTCTCTGAACACAAAGACTGGCCAGAAAGTTTTATGGCTACTGCCTCGGCTGTGCTTGTCTAGTATTTGAAGGTGTACGAACCAAGGGAATTGAAGTGAAGTCTCGTGGAATTTTTTTCAATCATGTGGCTAGTATCCCCAAGGTGTGCCAGTCTGAAACTTCTGGGTGACTTTTTAACTCCTTTATCCAACCACGTTGGACTTTGGTTGAGGTGATGGTGGGATTTCCGAGTCGTTGTACCTATTAGTCTTCAAAAGAAGGGTCAAATTTGTATATTCACACTGATATGGCCAGACTCTTGACCTGCATTAGAATTGTACGACGAATGGTAAATTTTAAACATGATGTTGCGGTAAAATTCCTTCAGCTCTTAATTTTCGGAGTTTTGATGCCAGTAATTTAGTGGCTGTGCCTCCAATGGTCTTACTGGCGTGGAATGTGTAATGATACAGATGCTTACTTCCGTTTGAGAACTTATTATATCAACAACTCCTGAATATGGCTGGTGAATACAAACTAGTAAACATACCCAAGCGACAGTCTGTTTGTAACTGCGGTTGTGATGCTGTGGCAAGTAAATTCTCCAGAAGCGTTGCTACACTGAATCAAGCGTTTTCTTTTCTCCAAAGAGTTCAAAACTTTGTTGGAAAAAACGAGTTATTATTAATAAACGCATTCATAAAGGACATTTAATGGGAAACTATATAATCCCTAGGCTGACAACGTTCATTTGCAGTATATAATGCTACCCATATACGTCTTACTATCATGATGTCCACTTTTGGTTTTAATAAAATTATCCACAAGCCAGTTGTTTTTATTGCATACTGAAACAAGCCTAAGTATGGTACGTTCAACGTTTGCGTTACATTTTTGCGTGATTCGTTACATAAAATCTATCTTGTTGTAATCCTTGCACAAGTACTGTACCTCCTCCATACCTATAGGCATTAACTCTTATATCAAATAGTTGTGGTTAATCAAAGCAAAAAGTAACTAACTGAATCCCCTGTGAAACTGATGACTAATTTTACGTCCTTGATTGCTACATCAAGTAACACACTCCCTACAAACGGTTATAGTGAACCACATAACTCACTTGTGTGTCGTAAGCGTCGAGCTGAAACTGAGGATAAAACTGTACTGACAGCTAGTATTAGCACTACTCCCAAAAATTCAGTACCCTCTGCTCGTACAGAAACCCTCCCTACACCTTATGTGCTTATCGGAAAACTCCAGCCTTCAAGCTCTGCTTCAGTACTATCTACAGAAATAGAACTTCTAAAGTTGTCCCTAGGAGAACTTATGGCCGAGTTAAGAGAAATAAAAAACAATAAGTCAGTAAATCCTGGAATTTCTTAAACCAATACCAAAATATCCAAATTAACAGATGAGATCAACGATATCAGATCGCAGGTTTGTGAACTGATACCTTTAACTATCCTCATGAAAACTGTAGACCTTAACAAACTTGACACAGAATCGGTACCTAAGGTAGATAACCTCATTAACTTTGTTACTTCAGAAGTAACAAAACGACTCGACGCTAAACTAAATGCTATTGTCTACAACGTTCCGAACAATGAGGCACTAAAAAAGGTACAGCGCATCTTACTTAGTGAGGCGAAAATGCCCAACTCCAAGACTAAGTGCTACAGGCTGAAGAAGAGTCAACATGAAAAGTGTTGTCCTATTCGTTTTCAGTTCGAAACACCGGCAGAGGCCAGAAAATTCATTTAATCCCAACACACCCTATCACAAGCCAGCTGGTAGGGATGTTAACACTCCTAAACCGCTAGTGCTGACTCCCCCTTTGCATGAATACAGGAACAGTCTTGTGCACCTGCATCCATTAAGCACACTTGATACATGCACAAGTTTAGGTCAAATAAAGATCCCTACCCATGTTTCTGGTTTAACTATAAATAAAAGTGCCTT